TAGCACAGTACATGAACTACGAGCTGAGGGAGTTGTGTCCTGATGACTGGTTCTTCAACCCACCCCTCCCATCCCACCTTCAACGTCGTCCTGTTTCTATTGCCTCTTTTTCTTCCCTTCCCTCTCAGGGCTACGCGTGTGAGGCAACAGACGAGGAGATAGCACAGTACATGAACTACGAGCTGAGGGGGCTGTGCCCCGACGACTGGTTCTTCGTACAGCATCTCATCTTCGTGAAAAACTGCTACGCTCTGCCCAAGCGCCGCTGCCTTGCACGCACTCCCCAGGAATTCATAGAGGTAAGGGTGTGTGTGAGTGCTGCCGATGTTGGTAGCTGCTGCGGATCCCCCAACGACCGGTTCTTCGAGCAGCACCTCATCGTTGGTCTATAGAGGAGAGTTGATGGAATGAATAGTGCTGCTGCCACTCACTCTTCAACCAGAGGGCGTTGCATGATGGGGCAGAGCTGTGACAAGTGCATGAATGTGTGATTCTATAATATCTCCTCTCCTCCCATCCCTCCTTCCAGCCTCTCCCACGCTCCCATGCACTCTTTAACCATGGAGCAGTGAGGTGCAACCATCCATGACCTCTCTAACAGCCTCTCTCACTTTCTCCTTTTATCTTCCCCTGTCACCCCTCCTTCCAGCCTCTTCCACGCTCCCACGCTCTCTTCAACCAGAGGGCGCTGCACGATGGTGCAGTGAGGTGGAGCCACCACGGGTGCAAGTCGTTTGACTGCCTCAACCACCGGACTGCAGGCGAGTGTGCTAGACCCGACGGCCTAATGGTGGGAAGGGACAATGAGATTTTGCGAAGCTTCTGGAGGGTTTGGAGTGTATGCGAGGGTGAGGGTTGTTTCTAGTAATGTTGGCGAGGGTCTCCACACGCCTCTGGCGGTGAACTGGTGGAAGGTGAGGCCCCTCTGTATCCCCACCCACCCCTCCCTCCTCTCAGGTTTCAGCTTGAGCTGCTCTGATACGACTCCACGGATTCAAGGACGTGCTTAGCTTAAGAAAGGCTCCCTGCGCTTCCTGGGGCTCAATGCCGGGAGAGGCACTGGGAGCTTCGCACTGCCCACTCACTCTCCGCTTCTCTCCCTCCCTCCCCTCCCTTCCTCCCTCCCTCCCTCCCCCCCTCCCTCCCTCGTTCCGTTCCCTCTTCCCCCCCCCCAGCCTCCCCCCGGCCTCCCCCTCCTCTTTAGGCGACTGCAAGAGCTGTTTCAACATGACCCTAGAGGCGAACCGGTGGAAGGTGAGGTACCGGGGAGCGCTCACCACTAAAGACATGGTTGCCCTCAAGAACGGCTCCCGCCCTCTCCCTCTCCCTCCCCTCTCCCCCTCCCCAGGAGACTGCAAGAGCTGTTTCAACATGACCCTAGAAGCGAACCGGTGGAAGGTGAGGTACCGCGGAGCACTCACCATCAAGGACGTGGTGGCCCTCAAGAAAGGCTCCCTGCGCCTGGGGCTGGACGCTGGGCGAGGCACGGGCAGCTTTGCGGCGCACATGGCGCGGTACAATGTGACGGTGATGACCATGGCCATGAACATTGAGACGCGCTCGGGCGTGCACACTGGGTTGCCTTACATGGAGACGATTGCGCTGAGGGGACTCGTGCCTCTCCATATCCCACACACGGTACGTTGGAGGCTGGAACATTGTGTGTCTCGCCCAGCCCAGGTTGGAGTTAGCTAGCTGAAGAGGCAGTGGTGGTGGTGGTGAGGTGTGCAGCGCGTATGAGATGTGTCAAGAGAGTGGCACATGGCGCGATACAACGTGACGGTGATGACGATGGCCATGAACAGTAAGACGCGGTCGGGCATGCACACGATAGAGGCAGTGGTGGTGGTGAGGTGTGCAGCGCGTGTGAGAGAGAGGTGTCAAGAGAGTGGCACATGGTGCGGCACAATGTGACGGTGATGACGATGGCGATGAACATTGAGACGCGCTCGGGCGTGCACACGGGACTGCCTTATATGGAGACGATTGCGCTGAGGGGGCTGGTGCCCCTGCACATCCCACACACGGTACGTTGGAGGCTAAACCATTGTGTCTCTCAACCCCAGCCCAGGGGGGAGTTAGCTAGCTATAGAGGCAGTGGTGGTGGTGAGGTTTGCAGCGCGTGTGAGAGAGAGGTGTCAAGAGAGTGGCACATGGTGCAGCACAATGTGACGGTGATGACGATGGCGATGAACATTGAGACGCGCTCGGGCGTGCACACGGACTGCCTTATATGGAGACGATTGCCCTGAGGGGACTTGTGCCACTCCATATCCCACAGATGGTACGTGATTCGAAATGGCCTGCTCTAGATTACGAGTGTAATTGATATCAGAGAGCAAGCATGATGAGGAGGAAAGCACGAATAAAATTGAGAAATACGCGTAACTCCAATGCACTTCACAGACATGTAATGTTAGCATGCACTGAAATCACGCCCAGAATATGCAGCTCCTCCCCTTGTCCCCCACCTCTGCATTTCAATCTGCAGACCCGTCTGCCCTTCTTTGACAACTCTCTCAACTTGGCCTCATGCACTGTGTCAAGTCAACAGCGTTAATTACCTCTTGAAGCTCTATAGCGGACTCCTCTTGTGTCACCCTCTTGTGTGGGCTTTCTTTCATCTGCCTTCCACAGGCGCGCCTGCCTTGTTTGACAACGCGCTAGACCTCGTGCACGGCGTGAACAGCGTCAAGTGAATGTTGAAGCTCCAAAATAGACTCCCTCTGTGACTATCCTGCCGCTGTGTCCTCACCTCCCCCTGCGGTCGGCTCACAGGCCCGTCTGCCCTTCTTTGACAACATGCGTGACCTCCTTCATTGTGTCAACAGCGTCAAGTACCTCTCTTCTCAGGGGCTTACAACACACACCTCTGCCTATCTTCTCATCTGCTCCTTCTGCGCTTCTCCATGTTCCTCAGGCCCGTCTGCCCTTCTTTGACAACACGCTTGACCTCGTGCACTGCGTCAACAGCGTCAAGTACCTCCCACTGGGCGAGTTTGAGCATATAAATAAGTGTTCGTTTTCCCCTGCACCCCTCTGCACCGCTCTGCACGTACCCTCCTCCCACAGGCCCGTCTGCCCTTCTTTGACAACACGCTCGACCTCGTGCACTGCGTCAACAGCGTCAAGTACCTCCCACTGGGCGAGTTTGAGGACCTGCTGTACGAGTGGGACCGCGTGCTGCGAGTCGGTGAGTGCTTGCAAGGGTGTGTTGCTATGAGCACATCAAGGCGCACCTACCTCCCGCTGGGCGAGTTTGAGGACCTGCTGTACGGGTGGGTCCAGTCAGTGAATTCCTTCACCAGTTATTCACACCACGTTTCACTAAGGGTGGTGTAGTGTGTACCTTCCACTGGCCAAGACTGAGGACCTCCTGTACAAGTGGGACCGCGTGGAGCGAGTCAATGAGTTTGCTTATTCACAGTACCCTTTCTTTGGTGCTGATATGACAAGTACCATGCACCTTATTGTCTCGTGCCTGAATGTCCGCTGCTCCTTTGCTGTCTTCTACACCCACATTCGGTGTCGTTCATAACCATGCCCTTTTACCATGTGTTTCTCGTACGTGGCTTGTGCACAGGTGGTGTCTTGTGGTTTGAGCTTTTCTACGCGCCCGAGGACGAGATGAAGATATACATTCAAATCGTGGATCTTCTACAGTACAACAAGCTCTATTGGAACATCACATCCAAGCCTGAAAAGGACCCCAAAGCGGTTCAGCGTGTCTATCTCAATTGCCTTCTGGAGAAGCCCCCTCGCATTAATTAGGTACTCCCTCAGATATAAAACCCTAGAAAAAATCGGGTTGAGAGGTGTGTGGTTTGGGGGGGGGGGGGGGGGGGAGGGTGGGGAGGGTGGAGGGGGAGTGGGGGAGAGGGGGCTTCTTAACAATAACACTTACCGTTGGGCAGGCCCCCAGAAGTCAGAGAAATTTCTCTGATTTGCATGAAAAACTCTGAGAATTCAGAATTTTTTTCAAGTGAGGTCTGTTAAAATCAGAGATTTTTGGGCCCCAACTCTGTAATTTTCAGAGAAATTTTAGAGCTAACTCTGACGTTTCAAAGTTTTCCAGGAGTGTAGTCTGATCACTCCGAGTACAAACGCGTATCGATTCTGTTATCTGCTTGTGTTCTTGACTGGTGATTCGGTTCGGACTTTACAGGTCAATGCAAAATCGGCTTGAGACTGCAAATCCGCGCCTAACAGCACAATGATTTCGACCAATCACCAAGAACTTCCACCTGACATTGCAGATTCGCCCTTTCACACCACAAGATTCGCCCTGACACAGAAATTCGCCCTGTCAGAGCATGTTCTCCCGAAAATCCCCTTAGTCTAGCATGTTTCAGTATTAGATGAAGCATTGAATACATTTCTGCTGAAACATTAGATACATTGATGTTTCAGACTTTTTTATTAAGGCACTCTGAAATTTCAGCCTTCTTTTTATACCAACTCTGAGGGTTTCAGACTAAAATTGTGTACTATTCTGATGAATCAGACAGGCCAAAAACGAATCTGAGGGCCTGCCGTTGGGACATGGTTTAAACTTATCGTTTTGGGGTCTTTTGAACACTGCAGTTAACACTGAAGTTGGGAGTTGGCTTTTGGTGAGCATACAACCACCAAAATGTTGTTTGCTTGGGATGCTGCTAGGTGTCATCGGGAGTTGTGGTTGGCCTCGTCCTCGCTTTGGCGGAGCCGACTTCGGAGTCGGGTGTGCAAGGAGCGCAGCCGATCAGCTGCAATGAGGGCGCTTAGCTGGAGGGCGCCGCCGAGGTGGAGGGCACCTTGTAATGCAGAGAGGTTGAATATGTGCTAAGCTAACTAGTCCCACATGAAATGCTGATCCAAGGAACATGTAAAATTGTGAACACCACTATATTCATAGAGCATTCACATGAACATTGGTGCCATTCATGCATTATTACCACTCTATTCTGAACCAGGCCACAGACAACTTGCAACACAGTGAGCCACCCTCTCGAGAGAGAGGTCTAAATGACAGCAGCGGACTGGCACTCGGAGATGTTGGTCATGGAGTAGCTGTTGCCGTTGCTGAAGCGCAGCTCGGACGCGCAGGGGCGCCAGTCACTGGTCCACGCATACACAATGTTCACCGTCTCCCCGGGGAACATCTGCACAGTGCCGTCAGCACCGCGGTTCAAGTGCATGTCACAGTATCCCGTCGAGTACTGCACAAAGATGTCGCCTGTCTGGTACTGCGTGGGGTTGGGCCCGGGGTTGTCGAGGATGCCCTCCCACACGTTGCCAAAGTTGGCGCACTGCCACACGCGCAGCGGGCTGGTGACGTTGTAGGCGCAGCCGTTATAGAAGGTCATGTTGTAGATGTTGTTGTGCAGGTCGTACGGCCCCAGGTACTGCGACCGGATCGTCACCGTCGTGCGCCCGCACGCTGGGGAGGAACACAAAGAAGGGGGTTAGGAAAACACGAAAATTATGGAGATAGTGCTGAGGGGAGCAGGGGGGTGAGTGCTGCGGGGAGCAGGGGGGTGAGTGCTGAGGGGAGCAGGGGGGTGAATGCTGAGGGGAGCAAGGAGTGAGTGCTGAGGGTAGCAAGGGAGTGAGTGCGGAGGGGAGCAAGGAAATGAGTGCAGAGGTGAGCAGGGGAGTGAAAGCTGAGGGGAGGAGGGAAGAGAGTGCTGAGGGTAGCAGGGGGGTGAATGAGGGTAGCAGGGGAGTGAGTGGCAATGGGAGTAGGGGAGTGAGAGACAAGGGGAGAAGAGAAGTGAAGGACACAGGGAAGCAGACAAATGGGAGTAATGATCAGGCAGCGAGAAGAATTGAGCAGCAAAGCCAAAGGACCAGCACAGGTAGTGACGGTGAGAAGGGGAGCAGCGTTGCGTACTGGTCACGAGGGCCTGGCGGCGGGGGATGTGGTCGAGGTAGCCGGGCAGAGGGGCGTGGTGAGCGAAGGTCTCCGCCGCGAGAATGAGCCTGACCCCCCCTGGGACCAGTGCCCTAGCTACCTTCATTCCGTCCCGCGCTCCACTCACCGCCGCCGCCAGCAGCCCCACCGCCAGCGCTGCCAGCACCAGCACGCGCATGCCAGCCGTCGCCATGAGGAGAGGCGCGGAGATTACTGGAGAGAAGTGAGAAGCTTGAAGGGCTTGATGCGGAGAGTGAATTGGTTAGAGGGAGGCTTAGAGGGAGCACAGGGTGAGCTGATGACTTCAGGGTAGCCATTATGGCCGCCTTATAGGCCATGCTAGGCCGCGAGATGAGGTGCGTGGATAATGCTAAGGGAGGGTCCCTCTCCCCTGGCACGGAGGAGGAATCGGCCTGCTGCTGCTGGTGCTGCTGCTTTAGAATCCTAACTGCTGCAGTAATGGAGGAGGTGAGCAGTCATGACGGCACAGCAAAGATCTCCGTTGATTGCCATGCTGCCTACAGGAACCGTTGCTCTCACGGATGGCGTGATGTCGTAACCAATCGCGGTGCCGTATGGAGCGCGGTTCATGCGGCGCGGCGGGCACGCGCCTATCGTCGCTGAATAAACGCAGGTAGAATGGCAGCACTGCCAGTGAGCAATTTAGATGCTTCTCGAGCGATTTGAATTCTGAAAACAGGACGGCTCAATCAAACGGTGGTTAAGGAAAAAAAACATGATGTATTTCACGCAAGAGATTCCGTCTGGTGGTTTAACAAAACGACGGCGTTAACCACCACGCAGATCAGCGTCCCTTCGTTCGACCTCCTGGTTTCCATATCAGACTCGACCTCTCGCGTCCTGGTGTCCTGGCTCTCGGCTCCATCTCACAACACATTTCCCCTCGACTCGGTACTTGCGAGCCAAATCTTGGAGAAGCGGAGCTACATAGACAGTTAGAAAGCACTCCACGCGTTTAACGACACGCAGCAGCCGGGTCGCGTCCAACATCAGCGCTTGCAACCAGATAACTGAAGGAATACTATGGAGAGCGTTACGACGGCGAGAGAGTTTCTGCTTATGAGAATGATGTTGTGCTAGCAACTCGGTAGCATTCCGGTAGTGTTTGTCTCCAAGGACTTAGTGAGAATTTGAGTAGAGATTGGACTTCACTAGAAACATAGAATATCTGAAATCACACAAGCAAACACACAAGATAGATATACTAGGCTACGGGAGTGTTGCAGAAAGTGGCGTGGCGCTGCAAGTAACCCAACCCACACGAAAATGTCGTGAGGGTGGATGAACGCGCCTCGGTCAATCCCAACCTGACTAAGCAGCGCAATGTTCCTTCTTACACGCCACCCCAACCTACCACCTCCAACTCAGCAACACCACACACGACTTGCTAGGAAGTGGCACAATTCCCAAGAATCGTGCTCACGACTTCTCCAGACCAGCAGCGCCCCAGCACAGACTTTGTAGGCACTGCAGTAGTCGCACGACTTCAGAGCATTTCCTGCACTGCTGTTTTAGCGTAGTCGTCCTGCCAAGTCGATGAGGGCCCTTGCTGTCGTAGGGCCCTCTAACACTCCCCTGCCATACTACAGCAAGGCCCTTTATAATCACAGGGCATGCATACACACATACACACCAAAACAAAGGGAAACACACACACACACAAACGAAGCACTCTCAAAGTGCAAACACGCACCGCACCAGCCATGGATAGGCCATGGCACCAACCACAGCATGGAGTGTCTAGGTCTCACTCCCCTCGCTCGAGAGCCTCACCTGCCCCACAGCCTCGAAGCAACGACTGAAGGCGGGGAAATGCAATGCCTTGGTAAGGTAGTCAGCAGGCTGCTCGCTCGTAGGGATGTACTGCAGCTGCAGCTTCCTGCGCTTGACCATGTGCTGCAGCCACATGTGACGACGCTCCATGTGCTTGAGGCTCCCCTTGAGCCCCATGCCACCTGCCACGGAAATAGCGTAGGAGTTGTCCACAAAGAGGGTAGTGTGCTCCTCACTCCTCAGCAGTTGAAACTCTGCCAGCAGGAAGCGCGGCCTACGCGCCTCCTTCCCAGCCTCCACAGCAGCAACGTACTCAGACTCAGTGGAGGAGAGGGTGGCGCAACGAATCCTCTGGCTCGCCCAAGAGACAGCAGCACCCCCGAGCACGAAGATGTAGCCACCAGTGCTAGTCCTGTTCTGCTTGTCTCCCGCATCATCGGCATCGGCGTAGCCCACAAGCTACAAGGACTCAGGCCCACCACCAAACTCCAGCGCCACATCCCTGCTCCCCACCAAGTACGCCAAGCACCGGTCCAACTCCTTCCAGTGCTGGTCACTCCGCACAGTCTGGCCTGACCCCAGCTTGCTGCAGGCAAAGGAGATGTCGGGACGGGTGGTACAGGCTGCGAACTGCAAAGAACCCACTTTCTGCCTGTACTCCTCCTCCTGGCGAGACTGCCATCCCGCATCCTCGAAGGTCTGCACACTGAAAGGGTCAGAGGAAAGGGGGGTGCGAGGCACTCGCAGCGGCTGCTCCCCGTCGAAGAAGCGCCTATGGACCTTGTCCACATAGGCCCCCTGGTGCAGCCACAGCCTCCTCGTAGGCCTGTCCCGAATCAGCTGCAACCCCAAGTACTTCTCCACAGGGCTAATCTCCCGCAGCTGAAACGCACTCTGCAGCAGCTCACGCAGCTCCCCCAGCATGCTCTGACTGCGGCTGGCAGCAAGCAAATCATCCACATACACCAGCAGCCAGCACATCTCCCCCTCAGCATCACTCTTGAAGTAGAGTGCCTCATCCACCTGGCTCTTCTTCCATCCAGCCCCAAGCAGCACCCCATCCAAGGCCTCATACCACAGCATCGGGCTTTGCTTGAGGCCATACAGACTGTTCAGCAACTTTCAAACACGAGGGGTCCCATCCTCTTAGTAGCTCGGCTGGAGGAACGCGTTCTTCACATCCAGTTCTTCACATCCAGCTGCATCAGGTCCAAATCGAGTGCATCTGCAATCGTTAAAAGCACACGCGCCGTCACATAGCTTCCCACAGGGGCGTACGTCTCCTCATAGTCCACCCCTGCCACCTGCGTGAACCCCTTCACCACCAGCCTTGCCTTCTCACGCTCCACTACCCCATCAGGTCGGAACTTGGTGTTCAGAATCCAACGGTTCTTCATCACATTCACCACTGGTGGACGCGGAACCAACTCCCACGTCCCCTGCTCAATCAAGCTCCGCATCTCCTCATCCATCGCCTCCTTCACCTTGTCGCCCTTCCAGCAGCCCAAGGCCTCCTTCACTGTCATCTTTTCTATATCCCACTGCCTCTCAGGGTCGGCCACCACGTCAGGATCCAGGTCCGTCCACTCCTCGTCCTCCTCCTCGTCATCCAATCCCGCTGGCTCAATCACTAAAGCCCAAGCATACTTAAGAGGCGGGATACCACGGGTGATGCGAGTGGAGCGATGCAACGGTGTAGTGATCGTCCCAGAAGCCAACACACGACCACCATCTCTGATTCCCCACATCTCCTGCTCCCCTGTCTGCTGCTCCCCTAGCTGCTGGTCCACCATCTGCTGCTCCTCAATCTGCTCCTCCCCTATCTGCTGCTCCCCACTCTGCTGCTCCCCTAACTGCTGCTCCCCTTTCTCCTGCCCCCCACTTTGCTGTACTTCATCCATACTGCTCTCGTCCTGTAGCTTCTCAGTCTCAAGGCACTGCCTGTCGGTGATCTCCACAGACGGTGGCACCACTATCCCCCCCTACCAACGGGCGGCACCATGGAAGACGAAGAGGAGGGTGGAGCAGGTGCAGGAGGGATGGAGGGTGGAAGGGGAGAGGGAATAACAGGAGGAGAAGGGGAAGGCAAGGGGGGTAAGGAGGAAGAAGGTGGGGCAGGGGGAACCACACGAGGGTAAACTGAAGGCGGAGGTGGGGTGGGGGCAGAGGTAGGGACATAGGGCATAGCAGGAGGTGCGACCACCTCCTCCTCCTCCACCGCCTCCTCAAGAGTGATTGGGGAGAGTGAGGGAAGGGGCTCATAGGGCATCGGACGCCCCGCATGCTCCTGCTGGTGCCAAGCCTTCCATCCTGCCAGGGACATGGTCTCATAGAACACAGCTTCCACAGTGGTGATGAGGCGGTTGGACTCCAAGTCCAGCACGGTCCAGCCCTTGCTCGCTGCGGACACCCCCAAGTGCAACCCTCAGCGAGCCTTGGGCGCCAGCTTCCCCCCGCGCTGCGACTGCGGCACCATATACCATATGCTTCACCATAACATTGTCTACCCTACAGTCTGGTACAACAAATCGCAACAAACAAAAGCTTGTCGGCTCTTCCAAGGTATTTGTCGCCTGCGCACAAAATGCAAGGATGAGTAACCGAGCGAGAATCGAGGAACTGGAAATAGCAGCAGACGAGCCTGTCTCGCCTGGATCCTTTCTCGACTGTTGGTGTTCCTCTGGGCTTTCGTGAAAACGGTTATTCACTCCATGACGCGTGTGTGCGAAGAGTGCAAATCAAGCTGGTACTGCTGACGATGTGAGCGGCAGTAGCCGTGCGACTCCGACTGTCCAGATCCACTCCAACTGTCTGCGTCACTTCGACTCAACTCTGACTCTTCGTTTTTACACTCGGTACTGTGTGCCCAGGGATAACTTTAGTAAAATGATCCGTCTGGCTTTAAGACCGGGTTCTGGCTTCTTGTCTGATTGTCAGACGAAAGCTGTAACATTGTCTAGCTTTCCAGACGAATCCTAAATTCCTGTCTGAGATTTCATATGAAGATTTATAGCTAGCAAGCAATGTACTCACAAATAGATTAATATCAAATTAAAGTACCGCAAATGTACAGCCTCCAATGGTCCAGTCAGTAGAATCGGGACTTGTGAAGGCTGAGGTTCCGGGTTCGAGTTAAAGTTAAAGTTATACATTGGTCGTAACCAATTAGGGGTATCCATTCCTAGATGAGCACGTGCTAACCCCTACTTGGGGCTGGCAGAACACGCCTGCACGGGGGTGGGTTCGATCCCAGGACCTCATCTATCGGAAGTGCCTCTTTCTACTGACTAGGCCACTTCTGGATAGAGGTTT